CGGTCATAATATAATTCCAGACCACGCACTAGGAAATTGTGAATTAAAAGGGCAGCAAAATATTACCTATTTGATGATATGCAATAAAACATTTGCTGGCGCAATACATTGAATTCTAGAGATAAATGAATCACAAGATTTATACATAGATGTGAAAATATAAATTGACATTTTAGCCACATGAGAATTAAAATAATATGGTTCAGCATGTGGCAATTATGCAAACACAAGAAACAACCATATAAATTAAATTAATGTGCTCACAATACATGACTCTTACTATGCATGCTCGGAGTTATAATTTCGAGATAAATATGCCATCCTTCGTATATATCATGCCATCAAATTTATCTAGCATGCATCTCTTAACAAACTGAAATTGTAAGGGATTACCGTTTTACATGCAAACTCGAATCACAAGTTCTCCGAGTAACCTCGTCCCATGAACAATTATCTTTCCACGAGCGCCCTAATTCTTCGAGTATGCTTGCCCCACGAATGATTTTCTTTCCACGATCAAGGCGAGCAATTCGTGCTGATAACGTGTTGTAAAATGGCCTATTTAATCTAGCTCTTTGGTTTGTGATTGTGGAAATACATACGAACATAATAACAATAATAGAGAGAGAATGAGAGAACACAAGTAAACAAGATCCGTAGAGAGAAAATTGTGAGATCCGTGGGGAGGGAGTGTTTCTCATTTATATAGGTGGTAACCACCGGGAAGTTACAAAGGAGTTACAGGTGGAAGTTACGTAGAAGTTACATTGCCACTAACACCATATAATAGATATGGGAAGTTAATAAACTAGTGGGAAGTTGATAACCATCAAGTGGTTATGTTAGGAAACCACACATTCCATACTATTTACAACAAAAATAATAATAATAATAATACTCCAATGAAAATTAAATTATAAAGACCAGTGTTTGGTGTTCTATTCTAGGAATTGGGAAATAAAAAAGTAAAAGACTATTTTATCCTTCAATTAAAATATTAATTTTATTAAATAAAAAAATTTATAGACAAATTACGTATAGGATCAGAATTTAACAGATTTAAATTTAATACAATGTCTAATCTTACATGTGGACCATTATATTACCTAAATAATTGATTAGTCAGTAGGGAATTAGTTCAATCTCATCTAATTTAAATCGATATAAATAACTGTACGAACTCTTAATACAAGATCTAATCCAATGAATCGAACATCTTACTAACAAAATAATTAATTAGTCAGTAGATATTCTCTTTTTTGGTACTATAGTAAAAATGCATTCCAAAATAATATTTTTGAGTGTGATTATTTTTGGACCACGTTTTTCTTGCCTCGTAGAAACATAACAAAACATTGGTAATTAGTTTTTTAGTCCAATTATTGATGACAAAAGGTAGATGTTTTTTTAATTAATTTTTTATTTATTATTTTAATTGTATATTCTTGGGTGGTTGGGAAAGCAGCTGAGATTTTGACCAAACCTCCACTAGGGATGTTAGGTTTTACATTTATTGTTTCTGATTTTAATAATAATGTGAGATCCAAGAACACGTTGTGGAGTATAAATTAAACTGTATATTAAATACTCACTACATTCCATTCCTAAATAAGTGTCTCTTTTCACTTTTTATAAAGATTAAGAAATTTAATAAATGTAGCTTGATTTTAGGAAAATCACATAAAAAATGACTAAAAGTACAACCTTCAACAATTAATAATTTATAAGGGAGAATTAATGTTTAGAGATGTATTAATAAGGTTAAAACAGGAAAAATGCATTTAATGCAGTATTGAAAATCTAAAGTGACAGATAATATGGAACAAAAATATTTTTAAGAAAAGACAATTATTGTGGAACAGAGAATAGTAAATACTACTCCTTCCATTCAACAACTATTAAATATCTATTTTCTTCATATTATCTTTTACTTTAGAATTATATTATATTATATTAAATACATTTTTTTTCCCTATTATCCATATTTATTCAACTCTAATATTAATTCTTTCTATCACGTTATCAAATGACGAGGTTATTTTAATCGTTTTCATGTGTTTTTCTTAAAATCAAAAACACTTATTGAAGCCCGTAATATTTGTGTAAAGCTGATAAAAAATGACCATTATTTAGAAACGAATGGAGTAATATAAGTGCGGGATTCCATCCTTCACCTAAACAGCATAGAATTTTCAATTTTGAACGCAATAAAATTTGAGAACAATAATAATTTATTTGGTGCAACGTAACATATAAAATTTGCATGCATTGTGTGCATGCACACGTGCACTCATACAAGTAATAATGCAATTCAGATTTTTGCGTGTTTGTGCCAAGAAAAGTTGCAAATACTTTCTTTAGCTTTACAAATCACCACCACGAAATTGAGCATAAATAGTAATGCAATAAAGAACCGAATCCAAATTAAGTAAAATATGACATTTCGAGCTACGTGGTTAGTCTATTACAGTTTACGTCTCACGTGTGACCTGCAAATTATTATACGAAAGTGCAGATTTACCCAATGCACATAAATAGTCGACTATATGGGCAAATTACAGTCACCCCTGAGGTATGACTAAATTACGAGGAAAAAAACCCTCTTGTTTTGGGTAATTATAGTCACCCCCTCTTTTTAAATACTTTTAATTTTATGTAATTCGGTTACTTACCGAACCAAATCGTATATTTAGTTCGGTAAACGGCATGAAATGTTGGCATACCGAAGTTTCGATTCGGTTTTACCGAATTAACATCCCTAAATTTACTTATGGAGGGGTCTTTTCGCAAGACAATATATAGTTGAGAGGAGTGGCTGTAATTATCCAAACATGATGGAGTTTTCGTAATTTGACCATAATTCAATATATATATATATATATATATATATATATATATATATATATATATATAATTTAGAAAACATGGTGCATGTCAGATTTTGTTTTTAATCAGTAAATAGTAACGCCATGTTGCTACTGCTGCTGCCAAGACTGGGAAAGGCTGCTGCTACACTGATTAATTACTCTCTGAATTGCAAAAAAAACCCTATATTCCTTTTCCATTTTCAAAATTATTTGTCTATTTTTTATTAGCAAAAATTCATATATTACAAAAAAAATTTAACCATTTTCACAAAATAGTGAGGCAATGTTTGGAAATGTTTTTATTTGGCTTTTATTGATTCCCAAAACAAAATTGTATTTATTAAACTTCTCAAATAATTTTCTAAAAATAATTTCAGTTTCTCTCTCCTTCAGACATGATGTGACTGCTACAGTAAAATGATTTAACTGTTACAGTAAAAAATTGTCTTCACTAAAAAACAAATAAATATCACTTTATCGTTCAATTTTTTTTTTCTTCTAAAATACTCTTTTCTAACACTTTTAAAATGATTTGACTACTACAATGTATTTTGTCTCCTTTCAAAATATAAACAAATATTATTTATATACAATATATATTTATTAATTTTTATATTTACATATAAATAATTAAATATTAGTAATATATTAAATATTAATTACACTTACACTTATAGGTTGAAGACCGAAGACTGGCCCTAATCCTAAATTCTATCAGTCGATCAACGCAGCCACCAAGAAAGTTTCAAACTTCTTCATTCTTCCTCGACTTCACCGTTTGCCGCCCATCACCACCGCCAAAAAAATTTCTTCTCCTCCAGACCGCCGCATCGCTACCACATCACCATCGCTGAAATCTCGTCAAAGGTAACCAAAAGTTTTTTTAGAATATTTAAATTAAGATATAAGGATCTGTAGAATATTTAGAATGTAATGAAACAAGGCCATAAAATTGGGATAGGGATTTTTGAAAGTAGATATCTTATGATTAGGCTATTTAGAGAAGTATAGATCTTGACTTATGTATGTACTATACTGTATACTGTATATTTGTGTGGTGTGTAAATTCCATTCAATATGATATTTTATTTGTTTGATTAAATGGTTAATCATTTATCATCTATTTAATTCTTATATGAAATTATTTCAGGTATAAGTTAAGCATTATGTCTGAAGAAATCAATTCATCTAGCTCGAAGCGCCCACTAGATGCAAGCGTAGACGAGTCTCATGAACCAACAAGTAGTCCTTCCTTTACTCCCACCAACATCAATAAGGATATTGAGGTTCCCGGAAACAAAAGATAGAAATCGGATGTCTGGCTTCATTTCGACAGAGTAATGTACCAAGGAGAACCTGAGGCACAATGCAAGTATTGTAAAAAATATTTGACGGGGAAGAGCACCGATGGAACATCTCATCTACGTGACCATATCAAAAAGAGTTGTCCCACAAGAAAGTTTAAGTACATTAGAGATATGCGACAACAAGTGTTGGTGAACGAACAAAATAAGGCGGATGGTCAATTGAAACCTTGTCATTTTGATAAAGTTGTGCCTCGATATGGGCTTTCTTGCATGATTATTTTGCACGAGTTGCCTCTAAGTATTGTTGATTATGTTGGTTTTAGAAAGTTTGTTTTTGCTCTCCAACCGTTATTCAAGATGCTAAGTAGAAATACGATCAATGGTGATATATTTAAGATTTATGATGTAGAAAGGGAGAAAATTATGGCGTTTATTGAGAAAAAACCATAGTAGGATTGCGATCACAACAGATATGCGGACTTCTAGCAACCGAAAGAAAGGGTTCATGGTCGTTACTGCTCATTATATTGACGACGCTTGGGTTTTACAAAATCGTTTGTTAAGGTATTCTTTTTTCATGGTCGTTTCTTTTTATGTATTTTACTTTCATTCTTATGGATTGTTTGCTAGAGTGGAATATCGACCAAAAGCTATCCACTTTGACGGTTGACAATGGTAAGACTTCTCCCGGATAAGTTGCATACTACTTCATTAGTGTTACATGGTTCGTTATTGCATATACGTTGTGCTGCTCACATTTTGAATTTGATTGTTCAAGATGGTTTGGCAGATATTAAAGATTGTATTATTACTTGTTACAATTGTATTATTACTTGTTACAATTGACCTCCATTATTCTCTCTTTTGGCCATTTGATCCAATAAATAACCACAATAATCAGAAATTGCAAACTTATAGCAGTAACTAAAACATTTGCTCACTCAATTCTTTCCAAGTTATAGCTCACCATTTGCTCAAGCACCAATCTAAACGAACTAATCGGCAAGCACCGCAAATTCTCGAACGCTCGATCCGCTTTCTCCCTCGCAAGCTCCTTCGCCCTTTCGATCCCTCCACATTTCACGACAATACCAACCGCCTTCTCGAGTGAACCGCTCTCGCAAAACTCCGACTTAATTATGCCCCTCAGTTCCGGTTCTCCCTCCAGTGCAAATATCACCGGCGCCGTCAAATTCCCCTTCGCCAGGTCACTGCCCGAGGGCTTTCCCAGCTGCAGGGGCGTTTGCGTAAAATCCAATATATCGTCCACTATTTGAAACGACAGCCCCAAATTGTAACCGTACTGATTCATTTGCTCGATGATGTCACTGTGGACCCCGCTGAATATGGCGGCTCCTTTTGTGCTGGCGGCGATTAGTGAGGCTGTTTTGTAGTAGCTCTTTGTTAAGTACTCCTCCAGGTTTACGTCGCAGTCGAACAGGGACGAGGCTTGCTTTATTTCGCCGCTGGCGAAATCTTTAATCACCTGCCAAATTAATTAACACGTTTATATCGATATGTTTTAAAATCGATTTGGTGTATTTATAATGTATATGTTTAATATGTATGTACCTGACTAATGAGCTTTATGACTTGGGTATTTTCGAGATTCGCCATGTACCATGATGACTGTGCAAACATGAAATCCCCGGCCAGAACCGCGACTCTCGTGCCGTATAATTGGTGGACGGTTTCTTTTCCTGATCAAATTTACGTACACGAATTTAATTTAATTTTAGAAAAAATAATCTAATTTCTTGGTAATTACTAGTGTTGGAAATGGTAAATAAAATATACCTCTCCTCGTGTCGCTTTCATCTAATACATCGTCGTGTATCAAACTTGCGGTGTGGATCATTTCGATAATCTCAGCCAACCTTCTATGTTCTTGAGTCAGTTCCCTGATTAATCGAAAAGTCGATACATTAATAAAAGCACACAATACAGACTTGCGGTGTGGATCATTTCGATAATCTCAGCCAACCTTCTATGTTCTTGAGTCAGTTCCCTGATTAATCGAAAAGTCGATACATTAATAAAAGCACACAATACAGAAACCGAGCATCAAAGGTATATATATATATATATATATATATATATATATATATATATATATATATATATATATATATATATATATATATATAGAGCAGGTCTCATTCTTTTGCCGCCAGCTCCAAATATTTGCTCTGCTGCTGACATTAGAACCGGATTTTCTGACCCGACAATCTGCCAATGAATTTCTTCTTTTATTAGAAAATTAGTGACATACATTTTTCTTACGCCATCGCATAGGGATGGAAATTGGAACCGAATTTTCGATTCCGGTCCGGAATTTTCCGATTTTGGAGCATTTTGTAAATATATATATCGGTTAATATATATATATATCTCATATTGATAAATGTAGATATAATTTTACTTTCATGTCATATAGAAGTTGTTATTTTACAAATAGCACTTCTTACTTTTAGTCAGAAACACGCTTTTATATGATTGGATATAAATATCCAACTCATCTCTCTTGTAACAGTAACATTCATTTTTCTGTTAGATGAATAATAATTTTTCCCTCTTCTCTCCAACTCCTTCGTCTCTCTATCATCTTCTTCCTCCATTCTGATAATCAGTAGATTAACATGGTATCAGTTTAGGTTTTTGAATTTTTCGCTTCCGCATATTCATCAATTGATCAGATCGCGATCAATTTCTTCAATTGTTCATCCAGTCGGTCATTTCTGAGTTTTGATTTCTCGAAACCATGGCGGCAAATCGGCGAGTTGATGATGTTTCCAGTCCGTTCTATTTGCATCCGTCTGATGGTCCTGGGTTAGTTCTCGTTTCGCAGCTACTCTCTGAAGATAACTTTGCCTCTTGGAGTAGAGCGATGCAGATTTCGCTTACGGTGAAGAACAAGTTAGAGTTCATCAATGGCACAATCGTTGAACCGAGTAGGGAAGAAGCGGTTCTTCACAACGCCTGGGTTCGAAATAACAGTATTGTTATTTCATGGATTTTGAATGCTGTGTCAAAAGATATTCAGGCCAGCATCATGTACTCTGATTCTGCGTACGAGATGTGGAAGGATCTCAATACCAGATTTTCACAAATTAATGGTCCGCGCATTTTCCAATTACGTCGGGAATTAACTAATCTTACTCAAGATACGCAGTCCGTTAATGTGTATTTTACAAAATTGAAGGCTATTTGGGATGAATTATCCAATTTTCGACCATCTTGTACTTGTGGAGCCTGCACTTGTGGTGGTGTTCAGAAGCTTAATGAACATTACAATTTAGAACATGTAATGGCTTTTCTCATGGGGTTGAATGAGTCTTTGACTTCCACACGTGGTCAAATTCTTCTCATGGATCCACTGCCTCCTATCAACAAGGTTTTTGCTCTTGTTTCTCAAGAAGAGAGGCAGCGGTCTATTCATTCTTCGCATAATGAGGTGCAGAACTCACTAGCTTTCTCCATTCGTGGTGATCAGACTACTCAGAGATCTATGCATAATCAAGCCACTTTTAACTCTGCACCTAAGAGGAAGGAAAGGGGCTTCTGTACTCACTGCAGCATCTATGGGCATACGATTGATAAGTGTTACAAGTTACATGGATATCCGCCCGGTTATAAAGCCAAGCCAAGATATCCTTCTTTGCCTCAAAGCAGATTTTCTGTTAATCAAGTCTCTGCCATGGAGTCTCCTCTTGACTATACATCTTCAGGGAGTACTTCTCAACCTCCTCTTGTTTCTTCTGATCATGTTTTGGCTAACTTGTCTGCAGCTCAATGCCAGCAATTGATTGCATATTTCTCTAATCAAATGGCTGCCAAGAAACAGGTTCCTGCTCAGCAGTCTCAGGGTGATGAGGTTGAAGCTGCACACATTTCTTGTGTGTCAGGTATATGCTTAGCAGCTTCTCTTCATGCATCTTTTCAACCTCACTATTGGATCATTGATTCTGGGGCTTCTCGTCATATCTGTAATGATAAAACTCTATTTTCTTCTCTTCATAAAGTCAATTTTGCTAGAGTTATATTACCAGATTGTTCTTTGGTTGTTGTTGAGTATATGGGAGATGTGTGTTTATCAGATGATCTGGTTTTGAAAAATGTTTTTTATGTTCCTTCTTTTAAGTTCAACTTAATCTCTGTCAGTGCTTTGCTTGATAATTTGCCTCACACAGTTATTTTTGATTCAAATTCCTTTCTTATTCAGGACAAGTTCTTGAAGAAGATTGGCAAGGGTAGCAAAATTGATGGTTTATATGTTCTTCAGCCTCACATTGAGTCTATTGATGTTTTTTGTAATAAAGTTTCTGCCACTGTTTAGCACAATAGACTTGGGCATATCCCTCAGTTGAAGCTAGATCATTTGTCTACTAAGTTTTCTTTAGGCATAGATAAGCCTAAGAGCAATTCTTGTTGTTATATTTGTCCTATGGCAAAACAAAAACGTTTGAAATTTCCTATTAGTTCTACTGTTTCTTCAAAAATGTTTGATCTTATTCATTGTGATATTTGGGGGCCTTACAGAGTTGAGTCTCACAATGGTTACAAATATTTTGTTACTCTTGTTGATGATTATTCTAGGTTTACTTGGGTTCATTTTCTCAAGTCCAAATCTGATGTTTTAACTGTCATTCCTTCTTTTTTTCATATGGTTAAAACTCAATTTAACTGTAATATTAAGGTGTTCAGGTCTGATAATGCTCATGAGTTACAATTTACTCAGCTTTTTGCTGAACTTGGTGTTCTTCATCAGTTTTCTTGTGTCTATACACCTCAACAGAATGCTGTAGTTGAGAGAAAGCATCAACACATCCTTAATGTTGCCAAATCTTTATTGTTTCAGTCTCATATGCCTATCACTTTTTGGAATGAGTGTATTTCTACTGCAGTTTTCTTGATCAATAGAACTCCTGCAGCTAAGCTTGGTAATCTCTCTCCTTTTGAGCTGCTGTACCCTGGTAAGTTGTTTGATTATCATTCTCTCAGGGTTTTTGGGTGTTTAGTGTTTGCTTCATCCTTGCCAGCTCAGAGGTCCAAATTTCAGCCTAGAGCCATGCCTTGTATTTTCTTGGGGTATCCTGTTGGCATCAAGGGATACAAGCTTTATGATTTACAATCTCATCAAGTCATCATTTCTAGGGATGTTATTTTTCATGAACACATTTTTCCTTTTGGTGATCAAAATATGAATTTTGATAAATATTCAGCTCCTGATTATTCTGTTCCACCTTCTGTTGTGCCAATTTCTACTGAATCTGCTGAATCTGCTGTTGATGTTGATTATCTCCCTAGTTCTGTTGCTCCACAGGTCACTGGTGGTTCAGTTCCTCCTCAGCCTAGAAAGTCTTCCAGAACCACTAAGCCTCCTGCCTATTTGGCTGATTTTCAGTGCAATTCCTCTATTGGTTTCACTTCTCTTTATCCTATTTCTAGTCATATAGCTTATAATAAGCTTTCTGCAGATCATTTTAATTATATCATGAATGTTTCAGCTGACACTGAACCATCCACTTATAAACAAGCTGTGAAGAATCCTTTGTGGATCCAAGCCATGGATGCTGAGCTTCAAGCCTTGGAAAATAATCATACTTGGACTATAGAGCCATTACCTGCTCATAAACACACTGTAAGTTGGAAATGGGTGTATAAAATTAAAAGAAAGCAAGATGGCTCTGTAGATAGATATAAGGCCAGATTAGTTGCCAGAGGTTTTAATCAACAAGAAGGGATAGATTTTATTGATACTTTTTCACCTGTTGCTAAGTTGGTCACTGTTAAAATTCTTTTGGCTTTAGCTGCTATTCATAATTGGGAGCTTCACCAATTAGATGTAAATAATGCTTTTTTGAATGGGGATCTTAAGGAAGAAGTTTTTATGGATATTCATCCAGGCTATAAGCATTCCTCTATTGCTTTGTCTAATTCTAGAATGGTTTGCAAGTTGCACAAGTCTTTGTATGGTTTAAAACAGGCTTCAAGACAGTGGAATCAAAAGTTCACTGAGGCAGTGACTTCCATTGGGTTTTCTCAGTCTCCTTCTGATCATTCCTTGTTTACTAGAGGTTCTTCTTCTCAGTTTATTGCTTTAATTGTATATGTGGATGATATGATTATTGCAGGGCCTTCTCCCACTGAGATACAGCAGGTTAAAAATGAGTTGCACTCATTTTTCAAACTTAAGGATTTGGGCAAGCTAAAGTTTTTTCTTGGTATTGAGATAGCTAGGAATTCTACTGGCATTGTTCTTTCTCAAAGGCAGTATGTCCTTAAGCTATTGGAGGATGCTGGTTATTTGGGTTGTAAGCCAGCTTTGCTGCCCATGGATCCCAAGGCACAGCTCAATAATGAAGATGGGGATCTTCTTGAGGATGGCTCTGAGTATAGGAGATTGGTTGGCAGGCTACTTTATCTCACCATTACCAGGCCAGATATTACTTATGTTGTGCATAAGCTCAGTCAATATGTTTCAAAGCCTAGGGTGCCTCATCTTCATGCCATTCATCACATCTTGAGATATCTCAAGTCTTCTCCTGGTAAGGGCATCTTTTATTCTGAAAAGTCCTCTCTTACTGTTAAAGCCTTTGCAGATGCAGATTGGGGCTCATGTCCAGACACTAGGAAGTCCACCACAGGTTTTTGTGTCTTCATTGGAGATTCTCTCATATCTTGTAAAGCCAAGAAGCAAGCTACTGTGTCCAAGAGTTCTGCAGAAGCTGAATACAGAGCTTTATCCATGACTTCCAGTGAGCTCATCTGGATTCTTCAGATTCTTCAAGACTTCCACATACCTATTAAGTCTTCTCTTCTGTTCTGTGACAATCTTGCTGCTGTACACATTGCTTCCAACCCAACATTTCATGAAAGGACTAAGCACATCGAAATTGACTGCCATTTTGTGAGACAAAGAGTTGTGTCTGGCATTCTTAAACTAATGCCAGTTTCAAGCAAAGATCAATTGGCCGATTTGTTCACCAAGGCTTTACCTTCTTCAAGTTTCAATTATCTTCTGGTCAAGATGGAAGTTAAGGATGTTTACTCTCCATCTTGAGGGGGGGTGTAAATATATATATATCTGTTAATATATATATATATATATATATATATCTCATATTGATAAATGTAGATATAATTTTACTTTCATGTCATATAGAAGTTGTTATTTTACAAATAGCACTTCTTACTTTTAGTTAGAAACACGCTTTTATATGATTGGATATAAATATCCAACTCATCTCTCTTGTAACGGTAACATTCATTTTTCTGTTAGATGAATAATAATTTTTCCCTCTTCTCTCCAACTCCTTCGTCTCTCTATCATCTTCTTCCTCCATTCTGATAATCAGTAGATTAACACATTTTTTTTCATTCCGATTTCCAATTTTTCCGAAATTATTTGGAATGAAATTGGAATATGTATGAGATTCCGATTCACGATCCGATATTAAGTTCAGAAAATAATTTCAAAAATTCTAATTTTCTTCCTAATATTACACTTTTTAAATAAAATATTAATAATCAATATTATTATGTATTTTATATTTCAGGTACAAAAAAATTGGAAATCAGAACAAGTTTATTCGTTCCAATTTCCGATGATTTTTTTGGGACAGAATTGTAATTAGTTTCACTTCTGAAAAATTTGATTTTTTCTTTCGGAAAATGGCTAATTTCAATCTGATCCATCCGATTTACACCCCTAAAGGCATAAAACATTGCACAATCCTTCATTTTATTCGTCATAAACAGTAGCAACAACTATAACAAAATGTATCGATCGATCAAGAAAATATATACTCACAGATAGTAGATTCTTGTTAAGTGTTAGGAGATCATCTGCAACCACATCAAACATATCTGATAAGTTATAAGTGCTTTTCGACTCTTTTGTACTCAAATCCAGCTCCAACGGATGACCAGCTCCAACACCTATTATATACCACCACAACATAGACTATAATATCAAAACCTCGGTTGTTTGAATTTTTATCGAGCTTCTGAAGTTCTATTCGAGCTCAATTTGATAAAGATTAATTAATTCCGGTCGAGCTCCAACAAACTTTTATTAATCGAGCCGAACATGTAACAAAACGAGCTTTTAACAAGTATCGAGTAGTTTGGTTTAGAAAGTAAAAAAAAAAAAAAGAGAGTAGTTTACCTTTGAGGAAAGCTTCCGGGGACTTTATCGGAAAGACGCAGCACCGGTTTATTCCCGGCTGGCAAGACGACAACTTCGGAAATCCGTTTGCGAAATGTCTTACGGAGAAGCGATCTAAAGACGCATTGGAAGAGTAATCCAACTTTGTTCGTACGACATCAATATTAATACTACATTTCATCGACATCGTCATCATCATCGAATTTGAATGTTTAGAAAGAACAAAAAAAAAAAAGAAAAAATTGAACGAGTGAATTTCCTTTTCTGTTTTTTTTTTTCTTTTTTTAGACCAAGATTTCTGTAAAAGGGCCGACCGACAATCAAAACGGATCGGGTGCAATCATGTAACAGGGTGCTACTGTAGGCTCTACGTTGCAACGAATTTAAGTCAGCTGTTTGTGAAGCAGCGGTTGACCAATTGGTGATCGTATATAGAGATTTGTGTCTGTATTTAAAATAATAATAAAGAAATAAATAAAGACCAGTGTTTGGGTGTTATTTAATTTATAGTTAAATAAGGAAGATATTGCACTTTGGAATTTGGATTATGAATGAGTAATGAAAAATGTATTGGAATGTGACTTTTGTTGTAAATAGTATGGAATGTGTGGTTTCCTAACATAACCACTTGATGGTTTTCAACTTCCCACTAGTTTATTAACTTCCCATATCTATATATGGAGTTAGTGGCGATGTAACTTCTACGTAACTTCCACATGTAACTCATTTGTAACTTCCCGGTGGCTACCACCTATATAAATGAGAAACACTCCCTCCCCACGTATCCCACAATTTTCTCTCTACGGATTCTTGTTCTTTGCATTCTCTCTTTCTCTCTTTGTCTTGTTATTTACATTCTTATGTATTTCCACAAACACAAACCAAAGAGCTAGATAAATAGGCCATTTTACAACACGTTATCAGCACGAAATGCTCGTTGTGATCGTGGAAAGACAATCGTTCGTGGGACTAGGATACTTGAAGAATTTGTGATTCAGGTGCTCGTGAAAAATGAACCATTTTTGGCACGTGGATGCTTGAAGAACTTGTGATTCGAGTTCGTTCGTGAAATGGTAATCTTGTTCGATGAATACAATATATTATTCAACATTTGGGCTTAAGCGTTTCAAGTAAGCCGTAATCCCTTGCAATTTTGATTTCGTAAG